GGGTCCGAGGGGATCGCGCGCGCGCGCGTCTCTGTCAGCGCCGCGCTCGCCGCAGCCTCGCTCCCGGCCCGGCCCTAACTGTAAGGCGCCTCCTCATTGGCCGTTCAGAGACAGGCGCTGGTTGGCCCGCGCGGGACTGGCGTCTCCCGGCCCTCGCGGGCCCCGCCCCGGCGCTCCCGGGAGCTGTCGCCCGGGCTCGGGGCCGCATCTCCGGGTGTCACGCTCTCGGGGTGGCCGAGGAGATGTGCGCCCCACGCAGCCCGATCCTGGCGCTGCCGGACCCGGAGACGCCGGCAGCGCGTGCGGCCATGCGGCCCACCCCTGCGGCCCCAGGTGCTTGGACCGGGTGCTGCTTCCCAGTTCCCAGAGGCGGACACTGAGGCCTCCTCACTCCAGCTTACCCCGGCGTCCCGCGGCGAGGGCACTGACGCGCGAACGTCGTCCGTCCTCTTCTTTCTCCAAATGTGTTCCATTCGGACTTTTTTAGTTTTTGCTAATTGCTGCAATGTATTTAAAGGCTGTCACGGGGGAGAGGACCCCGCCAAGCCCTTGGAAGGGGCCTGGCACAGTGGGTGCCGTCTTACAGCAAATCAGCCCACGCCTTCCCCACCCGAGCCCCAGGGAACTCTCCCCCGCTTTCCAGATGCGCGTTCCGGGGCCTGGCTGGGCGCGGAGCCTGGTAGAAGCTGTGACACGTGGTGCTCTGGAGGGGTGTCCTTCGCTTAAGCCTGGTGGGGGAGGGGAGGTTCAAAGCACAGAGGGAACTGGGAGATGCGTTCCCCGCGGGCGCAGGATCGTGGGCTCAGGACCCCTGCCCTATTGCCGCCGCCCCCCATTCCTTCCCTAGCCCCCCAGTCTGGGGGCAGCGGGGTCGGGGAGAGGAGCACTGCAAAAGCAAGACGCCGTCGTTATGGCCCCCACGGTGAGTCCCTTGGACGCCAGGGAGCTGCACAGAACCAGCCCCTGGGCCTCTGTAGATTGGGGACAGACTGCACAGCAGTATGGAAGTGAGGCTTGCTGGAGACCCTTCATCCCAGCCAGTGGTGGAGAGCAGCAAGCCTCTCCTCTAGGCCCTCAGCCCTTGAGTCCCCTTCTCCCGGCACCCCTGGGGCAAGGGCTGTAGCCAGTGGCTGTTCTTCACAGTGGAAGCTGGGACATTTTGGCACAGGACAATGACCCCATGTCAGTTCCACAGGGTTGTTTCCCCTACCATATCCAGTCTCCACCACCGCCTGTAGTTGGGGTGCCAATTTAGTACTCTGTTCACCCACCTTCCCTTAATTTGTGGAGTAAGTGTGTATATGCTGACCAGAGCACAGCCTGGCAGTACCAGGTATGATGGGCCACCTTGAGACCCTCTGCTCCTGGCAGGGAAGTCCCTCCTTGAGTGGAAGTTGTGTCTCTCCCCCCATTCACCAGTACCAAACCAAAAGTGTTGTGAAAGAGCCAAACCCAAGGTCCCTGCACCTGTAGTCACTGCAGCCCATGGTCCCAGAGGCCACATGCTCAGACCCCAGGGGCAGCCAGTGACGGCAGGTTCTCTCATAGGGCCCCCATTCTTGGTTCCCAGGAAGGTCAAATTCAGTGTATTGGATATTGAATGGAAAAGTGAAAACACTGACCTCAAATATTTAGAAATCTTAAAAGATGACTGAGAATGTGGGAGGCAACTGGGTAGTTGAGATAGCAGCACCCTAGGACCAAACTCCACCAGCTTAGTTTTGCCTTGTTTACATCTGATCTACACTAATATACTTTTCACACTAATATATTTTAATGTTTTTTGATTTTTTTGTAGTCTTATTTATACTACCATAAAAGGACTTAATGTGGGCCTCCCCTGGTGGCGCAGGCGGTTGAGCGCCGCACTGTGAAGCTGTCCACAGCCTCTGCAGTACCTGTTTGATTCATTCCGGACGGTGAGGGTCCCACATGGTGCGACAGATCTCTCCTGTCTCGCCCGCTGCTCCCCTCAGCAGTGTATTTTGTCAGTCTGCCTGTTCTGTTCCCCGTTCTGTCTCTGGTGAATCCTCTCACCCTCCCGCAAATATGGACTGTACCCCGGTTCTTGTATAAATAAATAAATAAATCTTTAAAAAAAAAGAGGACTTAATGTACTTATATATTCTAAAATGCATTAAAATAGCTACTCAAAGGAAGTGCTCATCCTCAAGCTCATCTAAAGGATCCCCATGGGATCTGACCACATTTGGAAAAATGCTGCAGTTGGGTGTGGTGGTCAGAAAGCCCTGGGGTTCTAGCCCCACTATTGGCTGGGTGGCCTGATTCTCTGTTATTCTTCCTAACAACCCCCCACCCCACCCTCTAGGCTGGATTGAGAATTACATTTCCATTCAATATCCAATACACTGAATTGAGCTTGGCGAGTAACCCGCTCTCAGGAAATGTAGATCCCCTTTTCTCCATGAGACAGCTACACTGTGGCCCAAGCATTTGTGCTCAGGGGTGGCAGAACCTCAGGCCAAGGAGACACAGGGTCTTGGATGTTCCAGCCTGGAGTCCCTGGGAACTAGCTCAGCAACCCACACAGGCCCTGCCTCTGGGGTCCCATCCTTAGCTGCCCACTTGTGGAGACCTGTCAGTCTCCCCATTCTACTTAATACCCAGCTTTCCCCCACCATCACAGGGCAAAGAGCTATGTGTGAAGAGAAAAGGACTGAGAAGGGAGGAGTGGCAGGCTTCTGGAACCCAAGCCTACTCAAGTGGGAAGCTGAAGCCCTGCTTGTGGCCCTGCTTTGGTGTCAGCCTACACAAGCACACACCTACACATAGGCACTTGTCAGTCACTCCAGAGGTGCCCAAGAGTTGCAGAATTCATGAGAGAAGGTTCCTATTTCTTTAGGCAAGTCACTTCCCTCTCCAGGCCTCCTTTCCCATGTAGTAAATAGAACAATGAGTCATTTACTCAACAAATACTTATTGAGTGCAGACCATGGGCTGGACACAGCAGGAATGAGATAGAAAAAGGTTCTGCTCTCAGGAACTTACGTTCTAGATGGGGAGACAGATAATAAACAACACAAACAAGAAAAGTTCCTAAATTCTGTAATGAAAATAAAGGCAGTGAGACAGCAAGTTGAAGTAAGTAAGAGCCAAGAGCCTTTCCAGGTCACTGTTCCACTTTCAGGGGCATTTGTCAGAGCTTTGTACTCAAGCACTGCAGCCTCTTTAACCCCAGAAAGTGGTTGCTTATAGTAGCCTTTGCTCTGAATCTCACTCCCAGGCTGCCAATGATATCTGTAATTAGAAAAGATGTTTCCAGATTCTCAGCCCCCAGCCTCACAATCCTGGTACCAGGCTCAATCCTGGCCCAAAATTGGCTAAGACTGGTCCCACCCATGATAGTAAGTACAGGCCTGCTGTACAAGTGGCTCAGAGTTGAAGACACTTGACACTAATTTTAATGGAATCAGAGATTTGAAAAAAATCCTAGTTGTTTTTAAAATCATTACTAGGGCCTCCCCGGTGGCGCAGCTGTTGAGCACTGGGTTGCGAAGCTGCCCGCGGCCTCTGCGGCGCCGGTTCAATCCCCGGCTGCTCCCCGGCCACCAGAGGAGGGTCCCACATGGCGCGCAGACCTCTCCTGCCGCCCGCTGCTCCCCTCTGCAGTGTACTTCGGTCCTTCTGCCTGCTCTGCTCCCCGCTCTGGCTCTGGTGAATTCTCTCACCCTCCCACGCTTCTGACTGTACCCAGTGCATGTATAAACAAAAACAAACAAACAAACAAACAAACAAATAAAACATGCCTCTATTAAAAAAAAATAAAATAAAATCATTACTTACAGGTATATACATTTGTCAAAATTCAGCAAATATAGTACACTTAAAATCTGGCTTATATATTTTGTCTGAGAAGAAAAAATTTACAAACAATGACTATTAGTTGAGGAAATATAGTCTGAAGTATTTAAAGGGAGATATACTGATGACAGTAGCTTGCTTTGAAAAGCATTAAAAGTAAGACGGGTAGATGCATGAAACACTACAGTGAAATGATGATGGTAGAACCCAGGTGGTGGGTACACAGGTATTCACTGCAAAATTCTTTAGCTGTATGTCTGAAAGTGTTTTTTTTTTTTTTCATTTGGAAGTTTTCATGATAAAATATTGGGGGTCAAATCAGTGTTTAACTTTAGCAAAAAAGGACACAATACTGCTTTTAATTTTCAAACTTTCCTCACAGACAATTGCAGTGCATACACTTTTCATGCATACACTTTTTATGAACTAGTAATCATTATTTTTGTGTAAATGTCATCAGTTCTCACATATTTCTAAAACTTCACATATACAGTGCTTAATGTTTACATATCACATGAATAAACATGTGGTCTGTTACTTTGGGAACATAGGTTTTTTACTGTGTACATTCTAAAAGTAGTGCCCAGCCTGCCTCCCTGCCAGAGAAGGCAGACTGGTTTGTATGGTACCAATTCTTTTTTTTTAAGAAAAACTGGAAAAACTGGACAAAACCCTTTTAAAAGGCATGGAAGAGCTACACGGATAGCAAGGAATGATGGGGTCAAGAATGGGGGTGGAAAGCCCAGAATGATGAGCCCAGTATTGGAGATCTTTTCCCTCCAGGAGCTGTCTACTCATTTTAAGGCTGATAGGCTGTGCCAGATTGTGCTACTGAAAACTAGCCACTTTTCCAGTTCCACACACTCTTCTAGAGCCTTCCTACCCAACCCCCCTGACCAAGAGGTGGAGTCTATTTCCCTTAAAAGTGAGTGGGCTAGACCTATGTGACCATCTTGACAAACAGAATGTGGCAGATGTGACCAAAAGCTAGGTTAGGGGAGACAGAATAGCTCTGCCCAGTTGTCTGCAGATGCTTGCCCTTAGGGCCTTGCCCTAGGGTCCACGGGTTGTTCTGGTGAGCAGCCCCAGTGAAGGATCCAGGCCACAACCAGCTTCAACTATGACACTTGAGTTATCAAGTTTTCCCAAGTTAGCCCCCAGCTGTTAAGTCACCCCCCCAACCCTTGAGACTTTCAGTTGATTCCAAACATCACGGTTTTCTCCTGTCCACCTGGTAAGCATAAGAAATGGCTGTTTTACGATTTGATATATATACTCTTAGAGGACTTTAACAAAGTCACACTTAGAGATCAGGTGAGAGAAGAAAAGAAACACTTTCAGTCTTCCTAAGCATGGCTGGCCTTAGAGGCTTTGAAGAAGGCAAGGCTGGAAGCTCTATTGAGACCCTCCCTCTAGCTTTGGTTTTATCCTTCTGGGCTTTGGTTTTCTACTTGCAGACTAAGGGGACAACAGGAGGAAAAGTCATGCCCTCTGTTGGGTGGGGGCACTGGACTAGAAGCCACGATGCACAGAGTGCAAATGGCAGGCCTAGAAGGCACGTCTACTGACAGGGATGGAGCCTCCATGGGTCCAGGGTGGAATCATGGTTTGCAGTTTGCAGTTCTTGCCAAAGAACTGCCAAAAGGAGAATTCCACTTCCCTTTTCTCTTCCACCCGGAGAACACTCAGGAATTTCTCACCACGGTAGGCAGGGTTTCTGAAGGCTCCTCCTCCAACTCACTGATCACTTGCTTCCCATCATTCTTTCAGCCTTCACTGTACTGCCAGGCAGCTCACGTTCCCCTCGTAGAGGGCCCGACCTTAGTTCCAGCTGAGTCAACTCTTTTCTGTCACCACCATACCCAAGGAGCAGCTCTGAGACCCCCAAATGCTCAATCTAGTTTCAAAGCCCAGTTTTGCCATATGCTCACTGTGACAGAACCTCAGTCCCCTTTCTTCCTTTGTAAAAATGGGATGCTGCTCCCTATCTCACGGGGTTGTCATATGGAATAAATGAAACAAAAACGGTAGTGTTTGGCACAGTTCTTGACAGTTCTTGAGAGAGAGAGAGAGAGAGAGAGAGAGAGAGAGTGTGTGTAACAATTTTCAGTGTGGGGGGTCTCCCTGCTGGTGCAGGTGGTTGAGCGCAGTGCTGTGAAGCTGTCCGCAGCCTCTGCAGTGCCAGTTTGATCCCCACCGGCCACAGAGATGCCCACATGGCAAGGCAGACCTCTCCTGTCTCGCCCGCTGCTCCCCTCAGCAGTGTATTTCGTCAGTATGCCTGTTTGTTCCCCGCTCTGTCTCTGGTGAATCCTCTCACCCTCCTGCACATCTGGCCTATACCCCGGTTCTTGTATAAATAAATCTTTAAAAAATTTTTTTTTCAGTGTGGTTCTTAACGAGTTGGAGTATGTTCTGTGCTCTCTCCCCCCATAGTTTTCCTAGGAAAACTATGAAACTTTCCTTAGTAACTGGTCAGAGGGACAGGTCTCTTGTAAAAACAGCTGGAGAAGCCCCACGTCCAGTCCCAACCAAACAAGTGGAACTTTGCTGTGGTGTCTAGATAGCTCTGATTCCAGTGCTTAGGCCAGACTGCATTAGACAAGCATTCTGAAATGTTACAACTTTATTTACAACCAGACTCCCAGTTCCCACCTTAGCTTACTCCCCAACTTTTGCTCTGGGGAAGGGGGAGAATAAGCAGAGACACTTCTGGTCAAGCCCCTGGCTTGAGGAGATGTGCAGGATGGGCCTCTTACTTCTTCTGGGCTTGTGCCCGGGCCCGCTGAATCTTGTCGGCTGTGGCCCCATCTGTGGCTCCCGTGCAGTGAGACAACACGAGGCTCATCTCTGCCTCATTCCGGTGCTCAATAGCCACATCTGCAGCCTGAGCCACATCCCTGTGGTTTGGGCAGGAGGGGATATGGTGTTGGGCTACCCAAGGGCACAAACTGTCTCTCATCAGCTCACTGGCTCAGCCACCTAGCACCACAGGGCTTTTAGCCAACTCACCCAACAAGAAGTAAAGCCTTGACCTTCTGCTCAGGACCCACGCGGGATGCATACTTTTTGGCCTCATACTTATTGTGTTGCTTCATGCAGATTTCCACGAAAGGCTTAGGAGAGGGAAGAGGTGGAGGGAGAGTTCAATGACTACATCGTCCCTATGTATTTTTTATACCCTTCAGTATGGGTAACCCTCCCTCCTCCCACCCCAATACAGTAGCTGCGATCTCAACATTCTCAGGGTAAAAAATGACCTAAACTGAAGATCTTGTTGAGGTCAAGTCTTTCCATGGATCCACCCTCCCACCCACTGCCACCCTCACAACAGCTCATTCCTGCCCTCTCGGGTCTGGGTTTTCTCTCCCAGCTGCACTTATCCCATTTCCCCTCCCCCCCTATGAATTGTCTGCCACAGAAAACAAACCCCCTCAATAACCTCCATTGCCTCAAAAATGTGCCCTCCCTGTTCTACTCCCTCCAACTGAGAAAGGACTTGCCTTCAGGGACATGGCCCCCTGAGGACCTCCCTTGGGGAAAACAGCTCATTTCCATTCCCCAACATTTACAGGCAGACTTGGGCCCATTCTCTGGTATACAGTGGCCTACAAACATGTCTACCCCAAGCACCCACTTGTTACATGGGATAGCTGAACTGATACTGAACAGGCCATTGGCCTTTCTCCAGGGCCCCTATTCTCCCCAGAGATGAGGTGAAAGAGGTGCCCCTGCCTCACCAGGTAGCCAATGGGTGATTTCTTGCTCTTAGAAAACTTCTCCAGCTCCTCCCAGTCTCCCAGATCTGCCAGGGCGGTTAGCTTCAGCCACCAGAGCCTGTAGGAAAGAGGAGCTTGGAGGTGCTGCTGGAGAAGCAGGTGATCCTGGAACCTGCGAGAAGCCAGGGTCCTCACCTACCTCTTGTCAGGAATGCGGAAGTCACGTGCCAGCTGCTCTGAGCGCTTATTGTGGCCTCCGAGGATGAGGGTGGTGACTGTGTCATGTAGAGACAGGTCGAGGAAATGGCCCCCCAACTCGTCTTCTAGGCGTCGCTGCAGCCGTAGGAGCCGCATTTGATCCTCTGTGGCCTGGGGATGGAGATAAGGAAGGATGGGGATGAGAAGAACAAGGAGGGAAGATTGGAAGAGCAGGAGGTAATTCTTGGAAAAGGGTAAGTCAAACCTTGGCTGCAAACTCATTCTTGGCCTTGTAGAAGGCGTCAGCTGCAGTCTGCAGAGCTGCAACACGCCCCTCGATTCGCTGTTAAGAAGAAGAAGGGAAGCCTGATCTCCTTACCCACCCAGGCTGATTGCTGCATCCAGGGTCTTCAAGGCCCATCTTATCAGCTGGGTGCACCACTCTGGTGACTGTAGTGGGAAGGATAACTTCTCTGGTACCACCCCCCTTCTTGTCATTTCATCTTAGACCCTCAACAATGAGGACCAGAAGGGCTATGCACCAAATATGAGGTACAGGAGGAACCAGACCACAAGCCCCACTCGCTCTGTGGACCTCAGACCTCTTCTGAAGCATAGCTGGCTCGGATGTGGAAACTGCCCAACTCTTGGTGGTTGTCATCCTGGTTGTAAAGGTCCTTCAGTGTCTCTAGTTCCTGATGCTTACAGAACTGAGGACAAGGGCAGACAGTCAGCAATGCCTACTCAGGGGTCAGGAGGCACCCACCCAAGCCCCGCCCATAGCATATACCTGTCTGTACAAACTTAGGGCCATGGGCTGGTTCCGGAGGGTCATGAAAAAATCTCCTCGGTTCAGCTCATTCTTCAGGTGCAGCAATACCGTGAACACTATGGGACATTAAGGTGGGGTGGGAGTTCCAGTCCAGCTCACTCAGGAGAGCGGTCCTGGTCTTCCCTTTACTCAAGCCCTGCTCACCAAGATCTGTATCCCCACTCTCAATGGCCTTGTTCAGTGCTAGTTTGCTCCTCTTCATCTTCAGGAGAAGGGGTACCTGCTCCCCAGAGCGTGGCTCATACTCCAATAGCTGAGGGGTAGGGGAAAGAAGACAGAGAGAGGAGTTGGTATGAGGGCTTTTAACACCCACATCAGAGTGTCTTGTGGAGGGCCAGGCACCCACACCTTGATGGCTAGCTCTGTACGGCCACAGCCATAAGCCCGCGCAGCAATGTCAGAGTAAGAGACACCAGGTGTGTCCCCTAGCTTCTGATTAATGGCCCGAGCAACATCCTCATCAGACACATCCTTCTGTTGCACCTGCAGGAGGAGAGGGGTGTGACACACATCTGAGTCTGACCCCTCACCCCACTGGCACTAGAACAATCCCATCCTTTCCACTCTACACTTCATATTTTCCATATCCCACTAGAGCCTGCAAGCCCCTAAATGCCCCCAGATCCTGTCTTACATACTCACCTTGTAGCAGGCCCAGTGGGCCAGGATCCTGCTGACGCCCTGTACTTCAGGAAGGCGCAGGTATTCACATATCTGGATGGCCAGGGGGTACAGTCTTCGCAACACAAGCCTGGCAGGTAAGGAGGATAAAGGGCACAAGGGGTGAGGTGGAGGAGAGAGAGAAGAGCAGCCCCAGGGCTATCTGGATCCCAAACAAATGAGTCAGGCACAGTGACCACCAGACCTTCCCAGGGGCTGTAAAGCCTGCCCACCCGCAGGCCTCCTCACAGGGCCCTTGAGCTGGCTGTACCTGTCCAGTAGCACCTGGATGGTGAGCTGCTTGTATCTGTATTTTACTCAGTTAAGGATCCAGCTGAGAATAAGCCTTATTTGCCAAGGACCTTCACACAGCACCTTCAGCCCCCCTTCATCTCCCTCCCCCCGCAATATCCCCAGCACTTTTGGGGATACTGGCTGTAGGTGAGGGGAATTCCAATGTGGTAGTCCCGAACGGCGTTGAGCACACGAAGCTCCTGACACATGCGCACAAAGCTGTCGGGTGAAAATCTGTCCAGGAAACACTTTCCGAAGGAGGCCGCCTGAGAAGAGCCAGAGGGCAAAAGAGAAAAGCGTCCCCTGCCAGTCCAGCACCGAGCCCCGGCAGTGCCACCACCCCCTCCCAGCCCTGCCTCCCAGGCCAACCCTGAGCAGACTCTTCTGCATGTCTGGCCGGTGCTCGTGTCCCGCAGCCTCGATACACTGCTGCACAGCCTGGGTCAGCTGCCCCAGCTCCTGGATCTCCCGCAGGTACTCATCTGCCTTCTGGCTCTCTTTCTGGGGAGAGGGTGCCAGGGATATGGCATCATGACAGAGAAAACCTCCATCTGATTTCAAGTCTCTCTGGGATGTGGTTTAAATGGGCTGGTCTGGAAGGGCAGCAGAGGCCAGAGCCCAAACCCTCACAGCACACCCAAGGCGTACCTCCCTCCACAATCGCCCCCTCCCGCCAATACCAGCCCAGCTGCCTGTTTGAGAGGCCTTGTGATCTCTCAGGAGCAGTCCTAACTTGTGCCAGGGCTGGAGATAATGGGGGTTACCTGGTTCTCCCCATCACCAAATGGAGGACACCATGTCCCTCAGGTCACTTGAGCCAGCTCTCCCTAGCCCAGCCCAGTCTACTGTCCTGACTGAACCCCTCTCTTAACAGGAAGCAGGGTCAATCAGGGGAAGGAGGAGACCACCCTGAGGACTGGGGAGAAGCCTGGGCCTTTACCTCATATTCCTTCTGGGCCTCTAATAGCAGTGCTCCGGGAGCCATTGAGGCAATTTTGAAGATCTCCTCACTGGCCACTGGGGAGGGAGTTGGTGAGTGGGGATGGCGCAGAGAGAACCCTCAGTCCTGTTCTAGGCAACTGGGGGTGAAGGAGCCCCTGCCCTGGGTCATGTCTTATCTCACCTGGAACCTCATGCAGGAACTCATGGGTGCTGCGGGAGAAGATGCGGACCCCATCCAGCTCTGGCACCAGGTAGGAGTCCTCGTCCAGCACAAACCCGAGCTTGTCAAGGCTCCAAGAACAACTAGAGATGAATCAGGGCAGTTGACCCCCTCTCCTTTCCCCTTCCCCCCCAAAAGGCAGCCCTCTAAGGATACTGGATGCTCTCGGGTGCATCGCCTACCACCATTAGTCGCCTTTCCCAGGCCACCACGACAGCCCTCTCCTTGCTGCGAGGACGGCTGCACCTGTGGGCGACACCACCAATACTTCTGGAACACACACAGATGCCAAGCCCGCAGCCACATCTCCCACATCATTGCCTGTTCTCGCTGCCCCTTACTCATTCCTTTGACCTCTCTGCATCCCTATCACCTGGTGCTATCAGTCCCTGGGGCATTTGTGGTTCCCCTCAAGCATGCACTGGCTGAGAGGATGCAAGGTAAGCTCCACTTGGCTTGGCCAGTAGACAGGATGAATCAAGGTATCCTGCCTTTGGCATAAGACCCCTATACTCACCAGACCATCTGCTTTGGGGGAGCCCGGACGTTGCAGTTGAACTCACAAAGCTTCTCCTAGAAGGGTATAGTGAACATCACTGCCCTCTCCCAGCAGTCATCGGTCTGGTTGAAAACCCTTCCCCTGCCCCGCTCAGATCTTCCCTGGACAAGGCATGTAGCCCCCATGTTGTTCCAGTACCACACCTTGAGGGACGTTGTCCCCATCCAGATGCAGCCTGTATCTGTGAAGAGTGCCAGGTGGCGGTAGGTGAAGGAGACTGCCATCTGCAGGAAACTGCTCACTCCGGGGGACAGGCCAGGGAGTGTCTGGGGCAGAGCCGGGAGGACACCAGAATTACTGACTTCTTAGCGCCTCCCCTCTGCCTCCCCCAATGCCTCCATTTCACTGGCATTCAGGGCCTCACCACTGCAGAGCAGGCTGCATGGTCCAAGAGGTAAAGATCAGGCCCCACAGCCAGAAGAATGTGTGCCACTCGCTCCTGGAACAGTGTGGTCCAGCATGAGGGTGCACTCTGTAGGCCTATGGCCAGCAAAAAGGACAAACTTGAGATGACCAGGACCACAGCATCTGCTGTTGGTCCCAAGGTCTAGAGGCGCATCTGTGGGCACCAAATGCTGCCTAAGGGATGTCAAGTCTCACCTGGAACCTCTGGCATCCGGCGGAGTTTGAGGTCACCCACATTGGCGCTGAGGGTGAAGCGGTGGGCCCCTGTGAGGATGGCCACCCCGGAACCAAACTCAGTATGGAAGATTCGGGCATCCAGAACCCGGTTCTGAAGAACTTCCTGGGGAGAGGGGCCATGGGTTGAAGGAGCCGGAAGGTCACAGGCTCTATCCCTTCTCCCTAGTTCCCTGTGGCCCGTACATTGCCCATGCTGAAGTGTCTCCGGAAGTCACCATGAAGCCCATAAACCAGCACCACACCATCTTCTTGCACACAGAGCAGCTCCTCTTCAGCTGACCAGCCCAGGGACACCACAGGCCCACTCTTCCACTACAGAGAGGAGGGAAGTTTCCAAGGCTGATCTCAGGACCAGAAGCCCACTCCCAGCCCTGCCATGGTCAGGGGCGCTCACCAGTAGGCTGGCCAGAGGCATGCCAGAAGCAGAGTAGATCTCCAGCACAGGCCGTACACTGGCAGCCTTCTCCTTCTTCCAGGGGTTCCTGAGCAGTGCTGCAGTTTGAGGAGAGACTTTTGTTCTAGTTTCCCACCCAGGTCCACCACACATGAAGCAGGCCTCATGAGTACCTGAATTAAAAGCATCTTGGAGGGTGGGAGAGGTATACGAGCAAGAAAAGGCCAACAACAGTGTCCCAGCGAGCAAGGACCTTGAGGCCATCCCATGCATGCAGAGCATGCAGTGGCAGAGGGGTGACATACCAATGGGGCCCCCATAGGGTGCAGCGGCCACCAAGCAGTCCCTGAGTTCCTCTTTCAGGTCCCAGTCCATGCTGTACAGCTCATATTTCCTGCCCACAGAGAGGTGACAGAGATTAGTCTCCTTGTGACCCGAAATCTAGATGGAGTGAGCCCCGGAAGAACCCCTAAAGCCTCCATTTGTTTTCTAGAGGTAGACAAAGAAGGACCCCGCACAACAACCCCCACCAGCAGTGGGGAAGAGGGATGCGTGAAAGCAGCTAGACTGACTCATGCATGTTAGGGACAGCAGGCAAGGGAGCAGGGGTGTTCACAGGGAAGGAGTGGTCCTTACAGCAAGCTATCGAATTGAATAAAAGAGGTCAGTAGGGTAATCAACAAAAATCAACATATTTTCTATAGCTATAAATGTTCTATACCATAGGAAGAATCAATCAGAAATAGAAATTTAAAAAGATCCTCATCATGATTGCAACAAGACTATATATGACATCCAAAAATTAACCTGATAAACATTTTATAAAATCAAATCAAAATTTACTCAAGGATATCAAGATATGAGAAATATCCAAAAATAATCTGTAAATGTTTAATTCCAATAAAAATAACCCCCTGATTTTTTTGGGGGGGTGGAATTACAAACTGATTCTTGAATTTTTTTATACCCATATGCATTTCTATCGCTTCTCGGCCTTTTGGCTAAGATCAAGTGTATACCCATATGCATTTCTTTTGACATCTCATTACTAAAAGGGCTGAATGAAACTCTGATGGGAAAATGAATATTCACACAGATGTAGGAAGCCAATTATCACGAATCTGCCTCTTGGCTCCAAGTTCACCCGCAGCAAGGGTTCTGTGATAAGAGGCAGGCAGCATTCCTTTACGCCATTCTTCTTCACAGTGTGTGCGTGATGCTAAGCTTTCTCAGTAGAGGGCACTGGAGGGACATTCAGGAGGAAGGGCTCTCTCACTGTGGGCAGTGGGTGGTTCACCACCAGCCAGGACGAGGACATGTGGTCCTCAGGCATACAGCAACCTCACAGACCCACCAGGACTGGAGATTACTTTTCCAGGGTTCCCTAGACAGATTACTTTTCCAGGGTTCCCTACTCCTGGCCTGTCTGCACCAGGTACTACTTCCTCTGCAAGCCAAGATCTGGCACTGGCTGTGCCTGACTCTCTCTGAACCCCCGTGTACCTAGTACTGATTGTGGCTGAACTTACAAACACTTTGTGCTCCAGGTCACCTGTCTGCTCCAGTTCCCTACTCTGCCTGCACACTCATTCCCCTGGTCACCAGTTGCAGTTCTACCCACCCACCCACCGCCATGGCTTGCTTGCCTAGCAACTGTAGACCAGCTCTGGGTGGGCAAATTAGTGAACTCTGCTATCCAGTGGGCTGCAGCTATTGTTTTTCCAGTAAGGTCTGAACCCCAGTCCAGGGAGGGTTCCTTTCCAAGTCTATCATTCTTGTGTACTCACCCTCTCTTCCCTAAGATACCATATAACATTTTCCTATACTTTATAGCTATCCTTTCATCATAGTTTAATAATTTGTACTTATCAAACATTCCCAGGTTAGATGTCCTGATTGGACCTAGACTGAAAGACTTGGCACAGGGAGTGGTTCCAGAAATAGACCCCTGAAGATGAGATTTGGGGACTGGCTTGGCCATATGCATGGGCTTGCGTGCTTTGCTGAGTTCCCTGCCAATGGAAAATGGACATTAGTAGCCTACTGTGTGCAGTGATAACACAGCTAATCGAGCCTGCAGTTTACTGTGGTGAAATGCCAAGTCAAACATGTTCTTTGGGAGTTTGTGTTTGACTGTATTATTTTGAGTGCACTTGAACACTTATTTACAAAGAGAAAATTATAAGCGTGGGTCCGTTAACTTTCAGCTCATGTTGTAGTCTGAGAAGCAAGTTTTCTAACAGTCCTAGAAGAATCTATTTTTCTGTAGTTACATATCTGCCACTGCTAAAATCACAAACACAAAACTTAATTGTGTAGGTTATTAAATTATAACAGGTGATTTCACCAACACATCATCTCTTATGCAAAAGTCAGGGCACTGATCAGGAAAGAATGGGATCCTGAAATATGGAAGGGGGATATCTAGACCTAAATGAAACTGACAATCCTGAACCCCAGGTTATTCTGAGATTTCCTTACCAGAGGAGGTAAGCTTACCCCGGTGTTGAAGGATACTGGCCTTCCTGTGCTTGAAAACCTTGTAATAATTTCCCTTGGGGGAGAAGTTCTAGAACCTCCTTTCCCAAGGCTGACCTGCCTAATACTATGGCTAATCTGCCAAAAGCAGAGAACAACACATGGCTCCGATATGACATCATCCTGATTGATTACACTGGTCCTTTTTCATCATAGAAGACGCAAAGATTTGCCCTCACTACAATACATTCACATTCTGGATGTGGATTTGTTTTCCTTCCCTCAAAGGTCTTTGTTGGCACCCATTATCTGTGGATTTTTTTACTGTTGTGGCATTCTCTAAAGCACTGTTCAAGTCAAAGACTTCATTTCATACCAAAAAATGCACAAGTAGGCTCAAGTCCATGGTCTGAACATATAGCCCAACACCCAGGAGTGGCTGGTGTAAATTTACTGATGACTCCATCAGAGCACAACTGGGAGATAGTATCCTAAAAGGATGGGGTTCTCTCTTACAGATGTCACTTATGTTTATACATTGTAAGGAATTTTCTCCTCCATAGATTACACGGGATGTGGAATCAAAGGACAATAGTGGGAGTGGCTCCTTCTCTCACTATCACACCTCTTACAAAAACGGGGTTTCCAGTTCCAGTATCTTTGAGATCTATTGGTTTGCAGAGCTTAGTGTCCAAGGGGAGAATGCTTCCACCAGGAATCACAACAATGGATTCATTGAATTAGAAGATTAAGAGCACCACCAAAACTGTCTTTTTTTAATGTACTCCGAAAAGAAAATGTACTTTGAAGCTATCCTTATAAATTACTTTAAATATGGCATAAAAATTATTTGATTGAAAAGGTATGCCTGGGGGCCTCCCCGGTGGCGCAGCGGTTGAGCGCTGGGTTGCGAAGCTGCCCGCAGCCTCTGCGGTGCCGGTTCGATCCCCGGCTGCTCCCCGGCCACTGGAGGAGGGTCCCACATGGCGCGCAGACCTCTTCTGCCGCCCGCTGCTCCCCTCAGCAGTGTCCTTCGGTCCTTCTGCCTGCTCTGCTCCCCGCTCTGGCTCTGGTGAATTCTCTCACCTTCCCGCGCTTCTGACTGTACCCAGTGCTTGTATAAACAAACAAACAAACAAATAAATAAATAAAGCATGCCTCTATTAAAAAAAAAAAAAAAAAAAAAAAGAAAAGGTATGCCTGGGGTTTGTTTTAAACAGCACCCCAAAAGTATGTACTGGGGTATGGGGGCAGATGAAAAGATAAACTGTTGATAACTGTTGAAACTGGGTGAGGAGTAAATGAATATTCAATAAACCACTTTACTATGTTTATGTACATTTGAACTTTTCCTCAATAAAAGATTTTTTATACTCTTATTATAGTCGGAGCAAACATAGCCAACAAGATAACAATTTTTAAGCCTAAATGATGGCTATAGGTGATCATTTACACACACACCCCCACCATGCCCAAACACATACCTACAAATTCAATCACTTCAATTCTTTCATCAAGACTCTTTGATTATTCTTTTTTTTTAAAGATTTATTTATTTATACATAAAAGAGTTGGGATGCAGGCCAGAGGTGCTGGGGGTGAGAGGATTCAGAATAGGCAGATCTACTGAAATATACCACTGAGGGGAGCAGCAGGCAGGACAGGAGAGGTCTGCTGTAAATGTGGGTCAGCTCCCTGGCTGGGAATTGAACTCATGCTGCAGTGGCTGCCGATAGCTTCACAGTGCTGAGACGTAACCCCTTGTGCCACCAGGGAGGCCTCAATGATTATTCTTTAAACAAAGTGATCTACGAGGTCCTAAAAACGTGGCCCTTAAGAGAAAGACATCAACCTCATTTCTTATCCTGCCCCTCCTGTGCCTGTGGCACATAAGCCACATTGACTATGTGGTGTGTATTACATAGAAAGCCACACTGACTTTATTAAGGTCATTGAGAGTGCCCCAGTGTTTCATGTCTCAGAACCTTTGCATATGCTCGCTCTTCCCCATCCTACTCCCTGCTCCTAAAGTCTACTCATCCCCAGATGGAATATCAATATTTCCTTTACCTCTGACCTACCAGTCTGTTATATTTTCTCTTAAAACCTATGCTTTATAATAATTATTGTCATGATCAGCCTAGTGCTAAAGTACTTAGTGTGAGTCCTCTGCTAGCTGTAGCTTTGTAAAGGCAAACAGGGTCCACGTCTTTTCAGTGGTTTGATATATGCAGTCTGACAAAAGAAGTGTTAGGCAAAATTAACTAATGGAATTAGCCCAAGTTGGGTTTTTAGGATAAAAATGGCTAGAAATCTGGAGTCCCAGAAGTGGTCACCATTCCCTCTCCTTATCTTCCCAAGCTCAGTGAGTTTTCCAGAATACTACTTCCAGTGTAAAAGAATCCTATCCTACAGCTAGGACTCCAAATGCAATGTCTATCACTTGTTTATCATTCACTCACTAACTCACTTAATTTAAATCCTGGCATAAGGCATACACAAACACAAATAAAACCAAGTATCTGCATTTAACAAATTTCCACTCAGGTGGACAAGGTAGAACACCCTATTATAATTCTTCTACTAAAAACAAACAAAAACCCAAGAAAATCCTGGTTCCACCACTAACCAGCTCTGTAACCCGGCCCCCAAATCTCTCTGCATCTGTTTCCTTATTAGTAAGATGAGGCTAGTAATGAAACCACCATCACAGGGTTGTGAGACTAAAACAAGTTAAGGGGGCCTCCCCAGTGGCACAGCGGTTGAGTGCTGGGCTGTGAAGCTGACCGCAGCCTCTGCAGCACTGGTTCGATCCCCAGGGGTCAGGCGCCAGTCCCACATGGCGTGCAGACCTCTCCTGCCACGCCCGCTGCTCCCCTCAGCAGTGTACTTCATCAGTCTGCCTGTTCTGCTCCCCGCTCTGGCTCTGGTGAATTCTCTCACCCTCCCACACTTCTGACTGTACCCAGTGCTTGTATAAATAAATAAATCTTTTTAAAAAATTTAAAAAAACAAGTTAAGTACTTATAAAGCACTTAGTGTAGAGTGTATTACATAGAATGGCGCAACATCTATTAGCAAAAATAACAAATCCTCCATAACAAGGCTTGGTTAGATCTCTACTCCTTTCTGGCAGCATAGGTAATAGATGGCTAGCCAAGTAGGTCATGACTATGGCATGTACTCAATACTTACATTCATTTAACACCTCATTGGTGTATCAAGAAAACTAAGACTTCATATGATTAAAAGAAGCTTTATGGTAATGAGATCATCCTCTCTGCTTTAACAAGCCTGTGTAGACAGCATGTATTTTCAAAAGACAAGTTAATATTTTTTAAAGTGTATGCTGTGGGGCCTCCCTGGTGGCGCAAGGGGTTAAGCACTGCACTATGAAGCAATCCGCAGCCTCTGCAGCACAAGTTCGATCACCGGCTGGCCAGGGAGAAGCCCACAAGGCGAGGCAGACCTCTCCTGTCTCGCCCGCTGCTCCCCTCAGCAGTGTGTTTCAGTCAGTCTGCCTGTTCTGTTCCCCACTCTGTCTCTGGTGGATCCTCTTAACCCCCGCATCTCTGGCCTGCACTCCAGCCCTTGTATGCATAAATAAATAAATCTTTAAAAAATAAATAAAGTGTATGCTGTGTGCATAAATACCAAATAATACGACTAGCTTGTCAATGGACATTTCTCTTCACATTTCAACAGCTGAAAAAAGTTATTTCCAACTGAAGTTACACTAAATTTTTTCATATTGTATAAGCATGTTTCAAAGAGAAGAATTATAAACAAATGCAATAGATCTTTAATAACTGTCAGGAGGCCTGTGTCCATCTTGGCATGTCCATCTCGATGTATCAAAATTACACTGAACAGTTTTGATATCTGAATAGGAATGGTGTACAGTTTCATTACCACAAACTGATGTCTTTTATTGAAGTAAGACCCCAATACAACATCTTTGTAATCTTTAGTTGCAAAATATTTTTAAAAAGCTTTATTGTGCAACTAATGCACAGCAGGCACTATTGTAAAATATGGACTGGTGACATGCCAAAAAAAGATGCTCTGAGGGCCTCCCTGGTGGCGCAGCAGTTGAACACTGGGTTGCAAAGCTGCCCGCAGCCTCTGCAGCACCGGTTCGATCCCCCGCCACTGGGCGAGGGTCCTACCCGGGGCACAGACCTCTCCTGCTGCCCACTGCTCCCCTCAGCAGTGTACTTCGTCTGCCTGCTCTGCTCTCTGCTCTGGCTCTGGTGAATTCTCTCACCCTCCCGCACTTCTGACTGTACCCAGTGCTTGTATAAATAAATAAATAAATCTTAAAAAAAAAAAAGAAAGAAAGAAAGATGCTCAGAGCTCTCAAAGAATTTGGTTTGGCAGAAAAAAATCTATATAAATATTTACCCTACTGTGCCATACATAATAGACTCTAGCACTGGGCACTGGTGAGGCCCAAAAGAAAAGTCAGCTACCTACTGGAATCTGGGAAAGGTTCAGAAAGAATGCTTGAACTAGGTCCTGATGGATGAGCAAGAATTCTCCAAATAAGACAAAGAGGGAAATGGCAGTGTCCAAGAAGGAAATGCAAACTGGTGCAAGCACAGGGAATCCAGAATCACCAGCTCTGGGGTAACTGTAACTAGAATAGAAGACTTGGGTAAGAAAGGAGCAGATGAAGTGGCAGAGACAAGTAGGGTGATTTACAGATGTTCCACGAGAGGTTCATGCTTTCTCCTACAAGAAGGGAAGCCATTGAAAAACCCTAATCAGAGTAATGATGAGTTCGATTTACACTTTGCAAAGATTAACGGTTTAGGATTCATATCCCCAAGAGAGGGCTGCCTCTAAGAGGGGGTCCTCACTCCCGTTGCCCTTGCATTCCCTGAAGACTCGCCCCCATGCCCCATCCTCGGTCTGAAGTCCCCGTCCACCCCGCGATCCCGACCCCCAAGAGCGCCCCAGGGGTCTGCTTTCAGCAGCAGTTCCCGGCGGGAGCCTGAGCACTAGCTGTCATTCGTGAGCGGCCTCCATCACCTGACAATCCTTCCCAGGTTGACAGGCCTGGTTGGGCTACAGCGTAAGGCTTTGCCCCTACATGTGTGACCACCGTGCTGGTCTCAGTCTCCTTCTCGGCTCCGAGGTGACAGGCGGCTGTGCCTCCGGGGGCAGGCACCGGCGGGGAGCGAGCAAGCGGAGGACCCCAGTGCTCGTGGTGACGGGAGAGCGCGCCGCCGGCTCTGTCCCGAAACTCCCGCGGGTGGGGCAGCGGGGCGGGGGGTAGGAGGGCGGGACAACTCACCGGTAGAAGGCAGAGTCCCCGAGCGGGTTCCAGTTCGCCGTGTAGCAGTCCATGGCCGGCGCAGGCGGCGGCTGAGCGGCACCGAGGGGACACCCGCCTACTGCAGGTTCCAGGTCGGCACTTCCGCTTCCGCCCGTCCGGGTCACGTGGCGAGGCCGCCGCCACGGCCATCACCACTGTGGGCAGCTACACACGGCCGCCGCCGCGCCCCCGCCCACACCGGGCCTGGTGCCCGCCCGGGTGGGCCCGGCCCCGGCTCCTGCCCACCGGGACGACCACCCCTGCCGCCTTCCTGTCCCCTCTGGCGCTGGGGGTCGCGCAGGGCGGGACATGGGTGACCGGAAGTGGGAGCTGTGAGCGTCGCCGCCCCGAGTGCCCAGGCCTGAGGCGCCGTCGGGGCCGCAGCGACGCACGCATGGAGAGTGCTGGGCACCGGGCTGCGCACCGACGGCTAACCGGGACGCACGGGCTCTGCTGGGCGGGGGCTGTGCAGAACCGACCGGCCTCCGGGACAATGAGGCGAGACCCAGAGGCCGCAGCGGGCGAGGCGCGCGGCGCGCGGGCCTGCCCTCTTCGCGTGTGAGCCGCGCGGAGCCCGGGACTCGGTAATTGGCGCGAGCGGGCGCGCGCATGCGCGGGGCGGCGGCGGGCACGTGGCGGGGCGCCAGGCGGCGCCGCGCGGGAAGTGCCATAATGCCCTAGAGGCCTGCAGGCTCGGCGACCTCCTGCTTGTGGTGCCCGTGGCCGGGTGTCACCATGGGCCCCGCTCTACTGCCTCTGCCTCCTTCTCCCAGTGGCCCTGAACAGCCCAGGAGGGGCCGGTACCCGTGCCCTGAGTCCCGGCCCTCCGCGGCTTAGCCTCCCTGCAGCCCCTCATTGGAGGAGGCATGGTCTTCTGTGTGGAGAACGAGGACCGTCGCCGACCGCTGCGAAGCACCATGGTCCACTTCCAGGCATCAGAAGTCCAGCAGCTGCTACACAACAAGTTCGTGGTCATCTTGGGGGACTCCAGTGAGTGCTCCTCTAGGATCGCACCTTCAGCCCCACACCTGCAGCCTGTTCTCTTTGTCTGGACCCGTGTCTTCATGTCTGATCTTTCTGATCCCTGGTCTGTTCCAGTCCTGCAGGTTTTCTCTTTTCCTTTTCCCACAAACCTTCCACAGGTGTCCTCAGAGATGTCACCTGTCAAACTTTTTACCCCATCCTTGCTCAGCATTTTTCGAACTGACAGTGCCCCATAATTTCCCACAGGGGAGTGGTGGATTGTCCTGTTTGTCCCCCCAGGTGACTTGGCTGACTTCTGCCCCGTGATCTATCTATACTAAGTTAGGGGTGTGGTGTTACTGGCTAATAGGAACAGAGACGGTGCTCTAGGGCTTTCTAAGGTCACTTTTCCTCTTGCTTCTAAGTAAGCGCTCCACAGAGGTGGGTTGGGCAACCACCCACCCTGGGAAGATGGGAGGCCTGGACTTGGGATGAGCTAAGTTGGGTGAGGCCTGCCTCAGCCTTGGGGTTCTATTTCCCGGCAGTCCAGCGGGCTGTGTACAAGGACCTGGTGCTCCTGCTCCAGAAAGACTCACTGCTTACAGCTGCCCAGTTGAAAGCCAAGGTGAGGGAAGCTCGTCGGCCATGCCAGTGGTGGGCGGGCGCAGACCCTGGCCTGGTAGGGTCCTCCTCCCTGGCATAGGTCTGACCAGCTTGGGGGGGGGGCGGTGGGCAGGGGGAGCTGAGCTTTGAACAGGACCAGCTGGTGGCTGGGGGCCAGCTGGGCGAGCTGCACAACGGCACGCAGTACCGGGAGGTCCGTCAGTTCTGTTCGGGCTCTGGCCACCACCTTGTGCGCTTCTACTTCCTCACCCGTGTTTACTCCGAGTACCTGGAGGGCGTCCTGGAGGAGCTGACTTATGGGCCTACCCCGGACCTGGTGATCATCAACTCCTGCCTCTGGGATCTCTCCAGGTTGGGGGGAGATAGGGAAATACTGGTGGGGGGGCCGGGAGGGGGGTATATGTGTGATTTAGAGGCTGTCCACCTCCGTGTTCTTGCTCACCTTATGTGCTTCCCAACAGGTATGGCCGCTTCTCAATGGAGAGCTACCGAGAGAATCTGGAGCGGGTGTTTGTACGAATGGACCAGGTGTTGCCAGACTCCTGCCTGCTGGTGTGGAACATGGCGATGCCCCTGGGGGAGCGTGTCACCGGGGGTTTCCTTCTGCCAGAGGCAAGTGGCTTAGGGCAGCACAAAATGGGGACTAGGATAACTGGTAGGTAAGAACCCTCCTTCCGGACTCTGCTTCATTCTGCAGCTCTTAGATGTTGCATTTTCTCATTTAGCTCCAGCCCCTGGCAGGCTCTCTGCGGCGAGATGTGGTTGAAGGGAACTTCTACAGTGCTACGCTGGCTGGGGACCACTGCTTCGATGTCCTGGACCTTCACTTCCATTTCCGGCATGCAGTACGGCACCGTCACCGGGATGGTGTCCACTGGGACCAGCATGCCCACCGCCACCTCTCACACTTGCTTCTGACCCATGTCGCCGATGCCTGGGGCGTGGAGCTACCCAAGCGTGACTATCCCCCTGGTGAGCCCTGCCACAAGTGTGTGATATAGCGATGCAGAGAACTTGGAAACAGAGTGGGGAGGAGATACTGAGGGAGAGTAGAGGCCCCTTAAAGGACTATCACTATCCTTGAGTGCTGCTGCTTCATTCCCTGGGGAGGGTGAGCTCATAGGCGCAACATTCCAGTCCAGGTTCCAGTTCTGTATGCTCACATAGTATTGTAGAAGCATTGAACATGTGCCACCATGTCCCAAGACCCCTACCCCACAGAGGATAGCAGGAAAGAAATGGAGTTACTTTAGTTACTTTAGTTACTTTAGGTATAAGTGGGGTAGAAAGAAAGGGAGGAAGGGCATTCCAGACAGTGTGGTAGAAGCAAAAAATCCCCTTTGCTGTTGCTTTCAGCCTCTTAGTTCCTGCCTGCTCACCAAGCGGGCATCACGACTGATTGTTTCCATGTCTGCTTCTCCCTTGGATCATGTCTTCAAAAGGCAAGATTCTTGCCTTGTTGGCAGCTTACCCATTTTGGCCCCAGGGTCTAGCACGATTACCATGCAGAGAGCAACCATACAGATAGTATTTGTTGAATTGGGGGCAGAAGTCTTGCTAGAAGGCTGTTCGTAGTAGCACTAGAAGGTCTGGGGGCACACAGAGAGCCAAGATTGTCATAGAGGTGGACCTTTAGAACTTGATAGTCAGGAGTCGGTGCGTTGGGAGGTGAGTTAGTGCTTTGATTATATAATTGTCTGATTTCGTTGTTTTTTAGATGAGAAAACTGATCCTCAGCAGAGGGATGCTCTAAAGGTTGTAAGGCTAGTTTATGATGGCTCAGGTCTTCTGAGTCCAGTTTGGAGCTGCAGAAATAGGGAGATCAGACGGAAGTGTCGGGTGGGAGGATGAGTTGGTGGGTTGGGTCAGGGCAGCTACTTGAAGTACTGCGGACTTATGGAGCAGATTTGGAGCCAGTAGTGCTCAACAGAGGGAAGGCAGCTGGGGCATGAGTGAGCTGTGAAGGAGAGAGCAGAAGTCAGAAGGGAAGAGGAGCTGGTAAAGGAAACAAGAAGAGACATGGAAAGAGGCATTTTCAGGGAATTAACAAAACTGTCGGTCAAGTTGTGTGGCTGTCGGGAAGAAAGGATTTGTTGAGTTTGTCAGGAAGTGGGTACAGTTAATAGAAAAAGTGTTGAAGGAGTGGAATAGGGTGGAAAGAGGCAGCGAGCTGTTGAGAAGGGAATGGAAACCGGGAGAAATGATTTTCTTGGGAAATTGAAAGGAAAGGGCCTGCGGGAGATGGGAGTGATGGGCTCTGTCAGTTTATAAGAGTCATGACGCACATTTATTATTTATGGGGAGGAGCTGGGGAGGGAAGGAGCTGGACGAAGGACAGAGGCTCTGGAGGGGAGCATGAGGTCAGAACAAGGGCAGATTCACTTTTGAGAAAGGTAAGAAAGCAGGAACACACCTCCGACTTTGAAATGAGCGGGAGTGAGGGAAAAGTGGGTCTAAAGCGGAGGGGAGGGGCCGCTGCCTGGTGGCCTTGTTCTCTGAGATGAGGGCACAGCGACTTGGAGGTGTGGACAGAGTTCGGGGGGCCTAGCTCTCCGGATCTTCCTAAAACAACCATCCCATTCCTAGACTCGTGGATTGAGGACTGGCCGGAACCGGATCATCTGCTCCAGGGAAACCATGGGCAGCCCCCAGACTTTGGGGAGCAACTTCCCTTGCCCCCACCCTGTCCCTCTCCTCTCCCTCCTCCCATGCCTTTTCCCTTCTCCCTCCCTCAGCCTTCGCTGCCTCCCCTGTTCCCACCCCTCTCCCAGGATGCCCCTTTTTTCCCAGGTCAGCCCTTCCCGCCTCATGAATTCCTCAATTATAATCCAGTGGAAGACTTCTCAGTTCCACCCCACTTAGGTAGGTGCCCGCAGCTTTCCCTCGCTCTTTTCCCAGCCGAGCTCCCTGTGCCCGCATGGATTGAGATGATGGGGTGGTCCCTTGCTCCCCCGAGGCTGGGATTGTCACTGCCGAGTCTGGAACAGCAACTGTAGACTCATTAACCAGCTCACTGCTGGTCACAATTTCGGGATTAGGAGGAAGGGGAAGTGGTATTGCCATTTAGTAGCTGTGCTGCTGAAGCCCAGAAAAACCCACTGGAAAACTTGAGAAGCTTGAGGGCAGTGCTGGGCTCATCCTGCCTGCGCACTCTTACAATGACTGGTTCTTTTATAGGCTGTGGTCCTGGAGCAAACTTTGTGCCTGGCCCTTTGCCACCTCCGGTCCCTGGCCCAGTCCCCCATGGTCACCACCGGGCCCCCGTGGTCCATCGGGGGATGCCACGCTGTGTACCCAATGGCCCCTACCATGTGCCGAGGATGGGGGGGCCCTGCAGGCAGCGACTCAGACACTCAGACAGACTGATCCACACATACAAACTGGACAGACGGCCTCCTGCCCATTCGGGGACATGACTTGGGTAGGCTGGATATTGGGCTGGGGTTGGATGTGTCAGTGGTCTCGCAGGGCTTGCTTGCCATCCCTGATTGGGCCCGGGTATCTGCTATGCGCGGTGTTGTTCTTGTCCATTGCTATCACCAATAAAGGCATGGAAGAACAGAGTGGCATCTTCCTGTGTGAAGGAGCGAGTCTCCCAAACTATGATCTTAAAAGCTGGGGAGGCTCCACCCTTTGACTGTTCATCCCACACTGTTTAGAAATCATTGTGTGCATTCTTCTCTTGTCTGACACATTCACTGCTACTCACACCAGAATACATGTGTGCTGAAGAAAGATCTTGGGGGGGTTCTGCTGTTGTCAGCAGCTTTTTGGGATTGACACTAAGGTCTGAGTTACAATATTTAAATGGAATTTTGGATCTGGCTAATTCTCTCCTTTACCAGTCTCATGCATCTGTGTGTACATTCAGCATTCAGCTATTGGAGGTAGACATGTACCTTGTCTTCCACATTACTTGGTGCATGATGGATACTCCAAAAGTGGTTGAAACCAAACAAGAAACTCCCAAACGCGAGCGGGAAACTGATTCTAAGCCCATCATTTAATACATGTAATGTGCATGGGAGCAGAGCGATCACAGATCAATTCTTTGATTGGTGATAGGGAAAATAGAGAATCCCAGTGTAGGAGGTAGGGGGCTGTACCAAACTCTGTAAGGTGACTCTAGATTCATGACTCCTAAGCATCAAGATTGGGATGTGGGCAAAATGGTAGCTGGGGGTAGGAATGGAGCGTTGGGTCTATAAGAGACCTGGGGCAGGCAAATCAGATAACAGAGACCCATTCAAGAACCTTGAGAACTGGATGGCAGAGAATGATACAATTTCCTTACATTAACTTTTGTGCTTCTTACTGAAATTTTACCTTAGCAAAGAATGCAACATTTCACATAAAGGGAATGGAAATAGCAGACCAGAAAAAAATTAATCCTTGCGAATGACCTACTAAATATAAGTGAAAGGGAAGAAAAAATAAATAAATAAGTATAAGTGAAAGGGAGCTATTAACACACCCTGGTGCTGTGAATGTGAATTAATAAACGTGAATTAATAAAACTCTTGATAGGGCACTTGAGAATCAAATAAGATAGGGTACAAAGGTACTAGCACAGTGCCTAAAACAAGCTTGGTTTTCTTGTATAGAGACAAAAAAAAAAGAATATACTAAAATGAAAGTTGTTTTTTTTTTTTTTTAGGAAAATAGAACTTTAAATTACTTTTTTTTTTTTTTTGCTAAAGTTGTCTAGTTTGCCCAGTCCCTCAAAACCTCTGTCCAGACACTTTCCCCTCTGATTTTGGGCCTTCTCAGTTGCTGGAAAAAACGGCATACCTGGGCTGATTTATAGCTTCACTGGCCCACTCTTGCTTGCCATTCTGGTCTCTAAAATTCCCTGCCACCTTCTCTCTGGAACCTTTCTTAGGCTTTTCTACTCCCTTGAGACCTCATCCCAAACTGGAATTCTCACTCTGTTAGCAATCTGAAGACTGCTGAGTGTGCTCTGTCACCCATCCTTCTACTTCAGCATTGCCATCCCATCATGTGATATGACTTCCTGTCCACAGAGAGGCTTCAAAACCTTTTCTTGGGCCTCCCTGGTGGCGCAGCGGTTGAGCGCTGGGTTGCAAAGCTGCCAGCGACCTCTGCGGCGCCGGTTCGATCCCCGGCTGCTCCCCGGCCACCAGAGGAGGGTCCCACATGGCGCGCAGACCTCTCCTGCCGCCCGCTGCTCCCCTCAGCAGTGTACTTCGGTCCTTCTGCCTGCTCTACTCCCTGCTCTGGCTCTGGTGAATTCTCTCACCCTCCCGCGCTTCTGACTGTACCCAGTGCTTGTATAAACATGCCTCTATAAAAAAAAAAAAACAAAAAAAAAAACCTTTTCTTTAGCATCCCAACGTAGAGAGGGTCAAAATTTATCACAAGAATGGAATGAAAAGAAATTATTTTGTTGTCAGCTTGTTGTAATATAAGCATACAATATAAGACTAAAAAGTTTGGCTCCTCTGCTACCGCTTTTATTCGGTCATGGCTGGTAGACAAGAAACTTAAAAAATACAAGGCATTTAAATTGTTTCCTGCTCCGTGTTTTGAGATATAAAAAATGGACATTTTATGTGCCTTCAGTATGTAGGTGTATTGTTAGTTAAGCATGACAGAACTCAAACTTTATTATCTGAAAAACCATATTTGACCATGGCTAAGTCACATAATAAGGCAAGCTGACATGACTCCCTCTCATACATGGAATTTTGGTTTTTAAAGGATGGCTCCACCATCCCTTTCTTTGCTATACCAAGATATTCCTGAAAGGAGTAAAAGATGCCTGAGCACGTCAGTGGTGACACCAGCCTTTATTTTCCTGGCTAGGTGTGGGGTATCTTTTAAGAAAATTAGAATTATCTTTTTAAGACATTTTAGCCAAACTGAAAGTTTCTCAAGTAGATAACTTGCCTTCTGTTGTATTATCCAGTTCTTTGCATATGTGTTGTCCCTTGATCAAGGTTAAGGACCAAAAAAATCTACAAAATTCTTGATGGTGGAACCTTAGCAGCAGTTCCTTTTAAATCACTGTCAAGTCAAAGGTGTCTGTGAACAGCAGTTCCTGGGGCATTGCCTGGGAATCCTGGTTTGCCCAGGTGTAGGATGAACACACACACGGAGTTCCTATCCCAATAAGCTCTGACTTTTAGATGGACGTATTCTTTGATTTGGAGGGCTTCACAATTTCTACACGTTAACTATATTTTGCAAGTATACAAATACCACATATCAATTTAAAAATTTGTTTTCTGGTTACATATTTGAAGACGTTAAATCAAGTTCTTTTATTTTTTTAGACAAAATATTTGAAAGGCAAGAAGTCAGTATAAGGGAGGCAAGAATATAGGAAATAGTCAAGGGAACCAAATATAGTTGGAGATGGTTGCTCAAAAGGAAAAAAAATAACTTGTCCAAAACTGGTTGCACCCAAACTGACAATATCAGAAAAGACAGCTCTTCACCCCAGGAGGAATAGGAGATCATGGGACAGGGCAGGACCAGGAGCCCGAGACTCTGAGCTGGCCGATTGCTCCTGTCTCTCCCCAGATGCTCCCGAGCTCTGCCCTCCATGCTGACTGGCTTTCTGACTGAGGGGCCAAAGCTGGAGATTTGGGGTAAGGGTGAAGAGCTAACAAAGACGCCATTGTCGCCACCGTAGGCTCTAGATGCTCCTCCCTAGACCGGGGATCTACCCGCGTTCTCTGCGCTTGGGATGCGCTTGGGGTGCGCTTGGGGTGCCTCTCGCCTCCTCTCGCGCCGAGCCCGACACTCCGCTGCCAGAGCTGGAGGTCTCCGCCAGGGGGCGCCTTGCACCGTCTGTCGCCGCGTCCACCTGCTGTGATTCTGGGTATTTTTGATGCTCCGAAAGGGGTAGCTCTTTCCTATGTGGGTGCCCACAGCCCTCCGATCCCTGGCTAGACCTGTACTTTCTAAGTCTAAGCATCAGGTCTTCCCGCCCGCTCTGCCTCGATGCCCACCAGCCACTGCCGTCTACGCCAGCACCTGAGTTGGGGAGAGCGCGATGCCGTCAGCTGCCGGTACCGCGTGGTCCGCAGCAGGAATCCCAGATGCCCCACAGGATCCCTCGCCTTTACCTTCCCCCATCCTCAGCCGGTAGGAGGAGATGGTCCTCCCGGCTCTGAGCACCTCTAGCCCGACGCTGCCTTTTCGCTCCCCGACTCGTGTGCACCCCGGCACCGGGGCATCAGTGCCCTGCACCTGCTCCCTTGGGCGATCTCCCTTCCAAGTGCAGACCGCCTCCTTCCCCCGGCCCCCCATGTTTGGCCTCCTCCCGCCTCCCTCTTCCTGTGGCCACGGCCTGCTCTGTGCTAGAGCCGCTTCCCCAAAGCCTCCGCCACGACTTATCCTCCTTTTCCCTGCACCCAGGAGTCGGGGAGGGGGCCCCTTCGTGGTTCTCGCAGCTGCCCCCCACCCCTCGGCACTGCCTCCTTCCAGGGACCACTCTCCTTCCCCCACTGTCCCTCAAGAGGTGGCCCCAGAGCGAAGACCCCTTGATGTCGGGCTCCTGATCACTGCTCCTGTTCACTGGGGCACAGGAAGTCCTCCGGGGATGTGCGTTTGCTTCTGTGGGTCCCCTCTCTGCTTCCTTAGCTGCAAAGCCCCTCGCATTGATACCTACTCAGCTGAGGTTGATGTGCTTGTTCTTCCGACCAGACCTAGGGGCTAGTGGGGCTCACCGCCCCTCCTCACTCAAGGCCACTGAGGTCGGTGGGACAGTAGTTCCTTCTTGGACCAAACCATTAAGACTCAAAATTCCATCCTGCTTCCCCCAGGCTTGCATTTTTAAGCCCTTCTAAATGGATGACCTTGTTTACATCTGAAGGAATTTCAGAAATGTCATTTTTTCTTTCAGTTCTTAAGATCCCTCACTGTATTCCTTTATCTCTACATCTGGTTCCCATGTACAAGCCCCTAGAGTTGGTCATAGCCTCTGTTTATCTTTTGTTTTTATGTATTTTGCAACAACAAAATATGCCTTGTTTTGCTGGCATGTCTTTTAAATTTGTGTAAAAGGAATTGTATTATTTCTCATTCATTTTCACTCCTGCTAGGATTTCCAGATCAATCCATGTGGCATCCACTCCTGCTGCTCCTTTCCACTTTGCTCATCCACTATATTTTTCTTCTCCATCTCCCTCCCACCACCACTGACAGTGCGATCATCATTCCCAAACATACCCGTTTTATGCAGTGCTTCTCAAGTACTAGTGTGCTTTCTTAGATGCAAGGCCTGGGCCTCCTGTTAAAATGCAGGCTTGTGATTCAGCACCCTGGAGTGGGGCTCAGCACTCTGATTTTTAGCCAGTTCCCAGGTGACGACTGGAATGATGGTCCTGGGCTCACACTTTGAAAACCAGGTCGTTATGGACCTCTGTGAGAATTCACTTTGGGTCGCTGGGTGAAGGGTATGTGTTAATTTAATTTGATAAGAACTGTCCACCTGCTCTCCACTCTGGCTGCCACCATCTCACCTCACACCAGTAGGGTAGGAGGGCAGGAGGCAGATATTTGTGTGGGGAAGGGAGAAGATCTTCTCCTTGCTCCTGTCCATATCATGACCCCCTCTCCACAACATGTGTCTGGTCTGGACCCAAAGCTTCCTCTTCCCCTTAATCAGAGTGACTCAAGGCTCCAGAGTGATGTCCCGGCCAGCAATGCACAGCCAAGTCCGCAAGAGACCCAAGCCTCACATCTCACTTTATCTCCAACAGAAGCTCTTATGAACAGGCATTGAGAACCATGGGGTCTTGAGTTTGGCTGGATTTCCTCCATCACTTTCCTTTAACAGCCTGTAATGCGATATGGGACTCAAGAAACCCAGCCTTGCCACTGGCCAGTAGTTATCCTGAGCCTGAAAATGAGACCATAATGGCATGGCTGCAATTTGTGGCTCAAGGCACCATTCTAGCAACTTTAACCACATACCAGGAGGCCCGCAGGGACCCAAAGACAGATCTTCTGTCTTTCCTTTTACCCATGAGGAAAAGGAAGTTTGAGAAGGTGTAGCAATTACCACAAGGCCATGGAGCTGGAAAGCGACAGTGCTGGGATTCGAACCTATGCTAGCCCCAGGGCCACCCCATCTGCATGCCCTGCCTTGCCCTTGCTACCAAGCCATATTTCAGGAAGACTCACAAGGGATGGGAAAGAACGACTGTGCCTGGGATTTCCAGGCACTGGTGCTGAAGGCATCTAACCAGTGGCAAGGCTGGGTTACAAAATTGACAGCAAATGGATTTTAGCAAAAATGATCCAGGGTTCCAGAAGTTGGTCCCTGATTTCTGAATATTTAAGTGGCAGGAGTGGGGGACTTAGGATCTAAGGCTTCAGGAAAGGGATTTTAGGCTCAGACACACAGTGGGGTTAGGACGGGTGGGAGTTGGGGAGAGTCAGGAGTTGGGTGGAGTCAGGAGTTGGGTGGGGAGTGTCCTGCTGGTGGCTAAAGCTGTCTAACCATGCCTTACTTGGTAGCAACTGATCACTCACTGTTTTGTTCAGAGGACCAACAGATGTGTGAGCGGCCAGTGTCCAGCACATTAAGGGATGCCACATTCTAAGACTCTCTCTGTGCTGGGAGCAGCTTGTTGGGTGGGTTTTAGAAACCATGGACTATATTTTCTCTACTCACACAGCTGTGCAAGCATCTCCTGGCACCACACCCTGCGCCCCCCTCCCCACCCCGCCCTTAGAATTTCACAATCAGAAGACAGCATTTCACATCTGCACATTTTGAGATTTCACAGCACACCACCTTTCACTTCTTGTCCATGCCCATCCATCCTGTGTTTACCATTTTGGGGTCAAAATTGTATCCATAACAGTATTTCTCTGAAGGCCCAGGAAACTTCCTGCTCTGTCAGCAGCCTTTGGAGTCAAAAAACCTTTTGAGCCTACAGAGTGTTCTTAGAGTTCAATAGAATATCTTATAGTCTTCTGGTCTTTACAAAATATTTCATATATAGGCAGTGCCTTTGACTCACAAGTCCATGATGAGGTTGGGACCCACTTAACATGGAGGTGTAAAAGGATTAACTGGCCAAGGCCACCCGTTGTGTGAGGGGGTGAAATGGGACATCTTGATAGTCTTAAGGATTTGACACTCTCTGTGGTCCTCACTACCCTGTGGACCCATTTCCCAGATTAGGGGATGTGAACTGAGGCAGGAGGTAGGAAATCTAGGGAGTGGGCAGGAAGGTCTGGGAGGCAAATTGAGGCCTCTCATGGAGCTTCTGGCAGCCTTCTTCCAGCTAGTTTTCTGTCAACAATCCCTAGAGCCTGGGAAATGGAAAGAGGGTACCTCTTCTTTCGAGACAGTCTCAGGGTCCCCAAGTAGTTCTCAGAGAGTCTGAAGACGAGACTGCTGAGTAACTGCAAGAAAAAGAGGCTGCCAGCTGCTAAGGGGAACCCAGTGGATGTCACCACATCCACACGGGAGCTCTTGGTGGCTTGGCCAAACCTGGCCCCTAGCTAAACTGTGTGTCCTGTCCCCTCTTCTCAAAACTCCGGACTCCCTACCCCAAGTACCTGCAGCATCAACTTGAGAGAAATGCCCAGGGGTCAGGCCAGTCCACCCTGCCAGCTCCAGAAACATCACACGTGTCCTGACCAGTGCTAAGGACTGGGGGTCCAGGGCCTGCCAAGGCAGGGAGGTTCTGGTCCCACCGCCCTCCCTTTCCCCAGGGCCTCAGGCCCTAGGCCAGGGCTCAACAGACACAGGCAGCGGGGTGGGGTTGCCCTTCTATTGGTCCAAGTCCTGAGTGTGACCTGGGTGAGACATGGAGGCAAGGAGGCCCACGAGGCTCAGAAGCGTGGAGAAAAGCAGCAGGAAGGAGGCGGTGAAGAGCAGGGCGGGGAGAGCACTGAGCACTAACAGCAGGACGGCCGGCAGCAGGTGGCGCCACACCGCAGCCATGACGGGCCACAAGGAGCTCAGCAGGTGGGAGCCGGTGGTGAAGAGCGCGTGGCACAGCATCAGCGCCAGCAGCAGGTAGAGGATCCCCTCGAGACCCCACAACACACGCTGCAGTGGCTGCCGCCAGCCAGATGTGCTCCACCAGTGGGCCCAGCTACGGGGCACGTGGCACGAGCACCAGCGCACCCAGTCCTGCCGTGTGACCCAGGTCGACCAGGGGGCTGCCCGCTGTGGCCCCTCGCCAGCCCCAACGGCCATGGCATCGGTCTCCACTCGTGGCTGCTGCATCGTGACTGGTGCACCTGGGAAGAGGACCAGGCCAGCTGCAGGAGCAGCTGGAGACAGAGGGGTCAGGAAGGCACCCACGTCGGGGATGGGGGGGGGGGGCTTGGGAGTTGGGGCCCGGGGCTTACCTCTGGCTGAGTCACCTAAGTCATGTTGTTTCCTGAGGCACCCAGGCCAGCCTGGCAGCCAGGGCCAAGCGCCCACTCCCACTCACCCACACCCTCCCCAGGGGAGCCCCATTGTGACCCGGCTGGGGTGGGGTCCAACTAAGAGGGGAGCCACTGCAGGTGTGAGGCTCAACTGAGTTCCTCTCTGTGGAGCCACCAGGCTATCAGGGGAGCTTGGCGAACCCACAGAGAGAATTTCTCACGCTTTCTTGTGGGAAGCCCTCCCTGACTCCCTGTCCCTTCCTTGATGGGTTCTGCTCTCCTCCCTTGCAAGTCTTTCTCTCTGGACCCTCATTCTCTAGAATCACAAAAGAGGCTGGCAGGGCCACCCCAACCCACAGGCTGCCACATCCTGCCCTGGGTTCCCGGTTCCTTATCTCACTTCACACATGGACCCAAGGATCTACTGTCTCTATTGTGGGGCCAGAGGTCTCCTGGGGTATAGTTTGGGGATAAGAGGTTCCCTCCTGCCTGCCCAGCTCAGGGTTGAAGAAAGAAGGCCCAAGGAAGCAGCAGGGCCAGTGTATTTCTGCAAGGCACACAGTGATCCAGAAGGGCACTCAGACCCAAGGATGGAGGCAGAAAGCCAGGCCCAGCAGGGCCAGGGGCATGCCACGGGCTCCCAGGAGCAGCCCCAGGCCCAGAAGCAGCAGTAGCAGAGCATCCTGAAGGCTGAGTTGTCTTGGGACCACCACCATCGGTAGGAGTAAAGCTTCCTGCTGTCTTGGACCCTCACCGGCCCCTTGACTCTGGCCTCCTGTGAGAAGGGCGTGCTGTGGCCAGGTGGGATCTACAGGCCTGTGGAGAGAGAGGGTTGAGTTGAGCATCAGGAAGCTGACCACTTGCTTACCTGCCCATACTTTCCCACCTGCCAGGTTGATGTCCACTTACCTGTGGAGCAGGTCAAAGGTCAGGAAACTGAGCAGTAGCAGCAGCAGCAAGGCTGGGCCAATGGTGGAAAAGACTGCCGGAACTGACAGCCCCAGTGCCCCCAGCCCTAGGACACTGTCCAGGAGCTGGGCAGGGCTAGGGTCCCAGGGGGACACACATGGACACACTGGACTACCTGACCCCTCCCCAGCACCCAGGCCCCTGGGGGAGACTGGGATGGGATGAACAAGGGTTTGGGGCCTGGGTAAGCAGAGCTGGATCATGGAGGAAGGTGGCCCTTACGGGAAGGGCACTTGTATGGGGGTAGGAGTGTGGGAGGGGCAGGGCCCTGCAGACACTCAAGGGTAAGCTCAGGGTATGGAGAACTGGGCTTTTTGGGAACCTCCCCTTCCCCACATGCCCACCCACCAAACCTTCCTCACCTCCTCCCACTTTGGTCAGCCATTCTGGGACTGGGCAGCTGGGGTATTGTGACCTACTGCCAGGTGGGCCCCAGGGCCCCTAGGGGGCTGCTGCTGGCTCTGGTCTCATAGGAACTGGTGGCTTAGTTGGGGCTTAGCCAGAAGGAGGTCAGCAATTTCTGATAACTAAGATTCTTCCTCTTGCCTTCGTTAATTCTCTGCACTAGGCCCTCCCATGGGGAACTGAGTCACAGGAAAGCATTCTAAGCCTATTGCGGCCTAGACAGCTGACCAAGGGAGGCAGGACTGTTTTCTTTGCCCAGGGATCTTTCAGGACTGTGGCCCTGGCATGTAGAGCTAGGCCCTGCCAGGAAGCTACCTGGGGCTTTCTGGGGATGGGCCTCCACATGATCTACTAAATGGGGCAGGAGGAGCTGTTCAGGTGTTCTGAGCACTATGGTTTGTGGGAGGTATTTCAGATACCTGGGTTTCAGAAACAGCATAAAGCAGGTGAATGTGGGACCTCCCTGGTGGTGCAAGGGGTTAAGGTGCAGCCTATGAAGCTGTCTGCAACCACTGCAGCACGAGTTCGATCCCCGGCCAGGGAGCTCCCCACAAGGCGCAGCAGACCTCTCCTGTCTCGCCTGCTGCTCCCCTCAGCAGTGTTTTTCAGTCAATCTGCCTATTTTGCTCCCCACTCTCTCTCTGGTGAATCCTCTCAAAGCCCCCCCCCCATACCTCTGGCCTGTACCCCAGTTCTTGTATGCATAAATAAATAAATCTTTTTTTTTTTTAAAAGGAGGTGAATGTAGGAAGACTTTAACATAGTAACCTCCAAACTGGAGGTTAAGGTTGCCCTCTGAGAATGAAATTAAGGACCACAAGCGTGTCTTGAAGAGACAGGTCACCTGGAAAAGAAACTTTTGCCACTGATAATGGCAGTTAGTTAACAGAGGTTCAGCACAGCTCAGCTTCGTGACTTGAGAGGCAAGAGTGGAGATAAGTCATAACTGAGAGAGATTAATCCGTGTGACATACTATACTTTGAGGGAAACTGATGGGGATAGGGTGAGGAGAAGAGTATCATGCAGTCCCCAGAAGGGGAGGTAGAACCAGACTCAGGCTACACATCTCCCTCTAGCAGGTCCTGTCCAAAGACTCGTGTCTGGTGACCTTGACATCTTTGGTGGTGACAAGCTCAACAGCCCATAGGGTTAATACCTCTGGCCCTTGAGACCATTCATTGATTCCTCTTGCTCTGGCTCCTCCCAGAGCAATAAAGCAATACCCACAAAATTCTGAGGGATCAGGATTTCCAATCTAGAGAAGTGTATCTGTCCACATGATGATCAAGCGTGAAGATAGAGTAAGACATTTCAGGCCACGTAAGTTTTCAAAAATTTGATCTTGCCTACATTCTTTCTTAGGAAGTTATGGGAGAATGTGCGTCAGCAAAACAAGGAATTACACTAAGGGACAGTATGGAATTCAAGAAATGAGGCCAAACTGAAGTGGAAAATGTCCAAAGTTATGTTGAAATTGACAGTAAAGGGGACAGCACTGAAACAACTGATGCCATGGGAGTCCCGTTACATCAGCATTCCAACCCAGGTGCAATAAGCAAGTTTGCTTCCCTTATCATTTGTAAATTCTCCTTTTGTCTGATGGATTCATGGCTGGTCTTTACACCAACAAGGCTGCATTCCAAGAGGAGGGGGAATGACAGAGTAAGCCAACTCCCCTTATGGGCTGCTGGCCCCGTTCCCCCTCCCATTGTGTAACCCCCTTTTTTCTTTCCCTCGTCTGAAGGACAACATGTAATCTACCCATGTAACCTATGTTAAAATAACTGAGTATAAAAGGAAACTTTTGTGTATGCTCAGGGCGCAGACCTCTCCCTGCCTGGTGCCCACTAGTATGATAACAGTAAACCTGTACCCACCTGACCGTAGAGTGCTGTTTGGTCCTTCTAGCCTGGCAGAATAGTTTTCCTGAACAAAGCCAGGTGAGGGATGGTGAGACTGGCAGGGCGCATCAGTTGTGTTCCTGGTGGAGAAAGCAAGTAACCCAGCCTGGAATCAAAAGATAGATGTTCGGGGGGGGGGGGGGGGGTGAATGCAGAAGAAAATGAAATTGATTATCTGCTGCTTTTAGACATGCTCAAAATACTTGGTAAGTTCTGTTGGAAGTTTTGGGATTGAATTAGCAATTGGTATCTAGAAAACCAAGATAAAACAAAGTAATTGCTAACTCCAGGGAACATAAAAAGTACACTAAAATATTGACATGGGTTTAAGTACTGAATATTGACTGCAAACAATGATTTAAATCTTTTGAGAGGATTAAATGAGGGGAAATGTAGGTTTGTATACTCGCACATTTGTGTTTGGGAGTGTGTTAGGAAAGCTAAATCCTTAATTTCATAGTAGGAAACCCACAGATCACATTTAAACATAGAAAAATCAAGAAGTAACAATTGAAGCATTGAGGGAAATACAAGGAGAAATAACAAAAAGAATTAAAAGTGGCTGCCTTGAGAATGGAGAAGTGTAGAAAAGAGTGCTCTGTAACAAACCTAAAAATGTAAAACTTTATAGTATCTTGATAAAAGTATTGTGGGGATAGATCCTCCCAGGATGAATGAAATACCAACTTCCTCGTGTCCTGTGGGTATACTCTCGTGCCTTGAGATAACATTTCCATGAATGGCATCAAACACCATCAAACACAGAAGGTTGTGAATCTCGTGCATTTTAGATGGAACCACTGGAAAACCTCCATCTAGAGCTTCTCAGCCTTTAATGTGCACGTGACATGAGGCTGAATCCTCTGGGGATCATGTTAAAATGCAGATTCTGATTGATGGGTCTGGGGTACTGATCTTGCATTTCTAACAAGCTCCCAGGGGATGCTGATGCTGTTGGTCCTCAGCCACATTTGAAGAGCAAAGCTCTCAACAACAGTGATGAACATCAGAAAGGCAGTTCGGGAGGTGGTGGTGAAGGGAGGATGGAAAAGTGGGGAGATGCCTCCCTGTGCATCTAAGTGCACAGGGAAAGCCTATGGAAGCAGAAGGCATTGAAAGGCAATCTGAATGGTGAGGACCTGACCTTGGTGAGCAAGCGCAAAATCCCTGTACTTGGCTGGCTCTAGTGTTATATGGCACACAAAGGAAACATGGACACCAGGGCTAACAAGAAGCAGGTTTAAATACACTGGTGCTGACTCAGCGGATTCGAATCACAAGGCTGAGCCCTCTTTGTAGGAAGTCAGGGGCTTATATGCACTTTAGTTTCTACAAGGTTCTGGGTGGGCTTGCATTGAGCTATACATGGTCAGCTATGACGTGGCTACATACCAAGAGGTGAGTCGTAGAGTTGCATACCAAGGGTGAGCAAAGGGTCAGCAGTCACGGGACCACTCAGATCCATCCTGCCTCATGGTGGTGCATGATCTAACATGAAGCCAGATTCATACCAGGGACTAAGTTGCACACCAGGAACTGGGCAAAAGGTTGTTGCTAAGGTCCCCAGGCTGCTTACCTCAGGCCACCAAGCTTCACAAGCACACCAGAATAGCCAGCATGGCTGCGCAGCTGGAGGGACAGGAGGGACAGCTGGAGAGAGGGCGGGTGAGATGAGATTGGAGAGGTGTGGGTGAAGAACCTTCTTCTGAAGATCATGGCAGGTGAGCCCTCCCTCTAGGACTTAAGCCAGGAGGAGCGTGTCATGATGTGGCTGCCGTGCAGGGCATGACTTAGAGGATGTGGACCTTCAGGAGTCAGAGATATCCTAGCTCCCTCATTGCCTCACGCCCTTCAGAGAAACTTAGATGAGGGTGGGGGCCAGAGACAGGGAAGTAGCCAGGTGGGCTTGCAGCGGGGAGCAACCCTCAGGGTCTGATCAGACCAGTTTCTGTTTCCACCTGAGCCTGTCCTAGCTGCTGCCTCTCAGGAAGCATTTCCCACAGTACCTGTTCCATCAGTAGCACCCGATTTGCACCTTGGGGAGCCTGTGCTTTGGCATCCTGTAAGTTTTTCTGGGACCTGGCAGTGGTCATCCAGACTGGGCATTCCAAGGTGGGTCCCTGACCTATGTGGGCAGGGTTACTTCCTTTCAGGGAGTCTTCCCTGGTCCTCTACCCAGAGCACAGGGGATAACCCAATGCTTGGAGGAGCTCCAGCGCGCACCCCGAGGTTGTCCCTGCTGGCAGTGGGCTTCATCCAGGGCAGCTGAGCGGTATTCCTTTCGAGAGGTCTGGTAAGACTGGCCCGCAAAAATGGTGCCCACGCGCTCATTTTAGGTGGCTTAAATTGCTTATACCGACAGTGGCATGCACAAATATTTGCTCAGGGCCTGGTGTACTCCGGAGGATTTCTGACCTCTTCTGGGCAACACTTCTTTTGTGGGAATAGCGGTATCTCCCTGGCCTGCTCCTTGCAAGGGCAGACCACTGGCCAGAGCACAGTGGACTCACCTCCTTCATTCTTGTGTGTGTGTGTGTATGTGTGTGTGTGTGTGTGTGTCCCTGGAGTTGGGGGAATCCAGGGGGTTTTGCATTTTTGGAATCGGGGATCTGGAGAGAAAGGGAGACATGGGGGAGGACAGGACCCACATCAAGCCTCCACCCCCCACCCCCCCAGCTAGCTGGGTATCCGCTCAGCTCATGCTTCTTTCCTCTGGTTATGTAACCCCAGAACGTGGCAGCCAGCAAGCAGAGGAGTAGGGGAGGGGAGGGAAAGAGGAGGGGAGAGGCGGGACCTGGGTGATGGTGGGAAGGGCTGCCTCTGGCTGGGCCTCCTTGGTTGTCCTTCATAAGGAGTCCTGGAAAGCCAGCCCTCCTGGTGTCCCGGCCTCCCGCCTCAGTTTCCCCTCTCTCACCCCCTGCCAGGGGGCCTCTGTCTCTGGGTAGAGTTCCCTCTCTGGTGCCAGTTTCCTTCCCAAAGTTTTCAGCTTTCCCACCTTGGCCATGTCAATTTACTGGCGGGAGCATAGTTTACCCGTTTGGAAA